GGCATGGTATGCCCCATGTAGGTCATTGCCATCCTAACTTGTCTAACAAATCTTTCTGATCAAATGTTAGCTCCTGTATCAACCTTGACGTGACCTACTTGCTGCTGTCCTGCTGAGATTGCCACATGATCAAGAACACATGGAATCCTATCAAGGAAAAGGAACTGAGGAATTACCCAGGCCAGTGGTTCCCGATTTATTTCTTGTCTTTGGTCTCTTTACATTTTAAAAAGTTACTAAAGACCCGAAAAGCTTTTGTTTAAACAGTTTATATCTGTTGGTATTTACCGAATTTGAAATCAAAACCAAGAGGAAACATTTTTAATTCATTTAAAAAACAATAAACTAATTACATGTGAATGTACCAAACATATTTCTAATGAAAAATAGCTATGACCTCCAACACATTTTAATGAGAAGAGTGGCAATATTTTATATGTTTGCAAATGTCTTCAATGTCTGACTTAAATAGAAGACAGCTGTATTCTCACTCCTGCCTTCTGCATGAATCTGTTGTGGATGTTGTTTTGGTTAAAGAATATGAAGAAAATCCAGCCTCACACTGACAGGGAGTGGTGAAGAGAAGAAGCTTATTAATGGCCATTTCAGTTGATATTCATTGATATTACACTAAGACTCTACAAGTGTAGTTTCTGAAAGGTGGGCTGCAGAGTAGAATCTGAAATCATTATCAATGAAATTTTTGTATTCTATTACATCAAAATCCATTGGTCTATCGTGCACTACCTGAGTTTTTTATCCCATAGATGATTTTTGATTCTGAGTGTTATGATCTCTATTTTCCAAGAGGAAATTCAATGAAAATGTCTCCTTAGTGGCAAAAATAAATAAATAAATAAATAAATAAATAAATAAGGAAAATTACATGTGGCATACAAAAGGAAGGTGACAACGGTGGCAAAGGGGAATGATGAGACAAATTTGCAGCTGAGGAATAAGGACACCTGAACTACTGTTAGAGGAAAGAAGGAAAATTGGGACTGCAATTTTTAAAAATTAGCATTTATGGAGCATTTCTCAAGTGCCCATTAGAACTATCTCATTTAATCAGTTTTCTATTTGGTAAGATGTATTATTCTTGTCTCAGAAGAGAACGGTAAAGTGCCGGAGCTCCAGAATTGTGGAACTAGACTGCAACCAGCTACATCTGACTCAGTGTTTTGCAATCTTTAAAAATACGAGTTTTTTTTTAAATTCCAAAAATAATGTATAAACTCTTAACACACACGGAAAAGTAAAAGACAAAAACCTCATGCTCCTTGCCCCCCACACCTCTCCGTTTCTACTGCTAAAAGTCATAGTAAATACAGATACCATATTTTCACAAAACAGAAAGTCACTGCTCGTAACTGCTCCACGATGCTCTTTACCACAAGCAGTGAAGAATCCCGACGTTGGTCCATAACCTGTCTTGGTGACAATGGAACTCACAAGGGCTGAGATCACTGGCTATAACTCCTACCGTAGTACCAGTGTTTACACGATTATGGGTGGATTTCAGATTTTGGCCACTTTCTAGACCTTTTTAGCATCATAGATTCACCTATCACTGTAGTGGGAGAGAAAGGAAAAATAATGCAAAGGTCGGAAGAGAAGAGGAGATGAATGTGGGTGGTGAGGGCAACAAGGTAAGCATGGGGTGCCCTCAGTGGGTAAGCAGAAGTGTCAAGGAAAGTGGCCAGGTTCTCAGTTACAAAGAGCTAGCCTGTAACTTCTAGAGACTTCTGTTTTTCCTCTTCCAAACTGCTAAACTGACTTTCTCAGTTATTACTTTAATTTTTTTTTTTCAAAATTAGTAGCCAAGCTATTTACCTACCACTTATTAAAATAGGATGTGTAACATTCAGTTCTTTTTATGGAGGGGAGTGTCTTTTTTTTTTTTTTTTTTTTTTTTTTTTTTTTACTTATGAAGCATTTATGATGGGGGGAAAAACTGTACCTATTAAAAAAATCTCTTTTGTAAATTGATGGTAAATGTCACTATCTGTTGAAGGAGCCATTGGGCTCAAGTGAAGTTGTAACTAGAAGCCCAGTGCAAAAGAATACACACAAAATCAATTCAACATCCACAACCAAGAGAAACGCCCAAGTGTTTCAAGATTACAGTGCTGAAAGCATTTCTTTTAAAATATTCATCTTAGGAAGAGCCTGTGAAAGGGGATTTTTTTGTTCTCTTTGATTGAGTCAGTATCACTAATAATAATGCTTTGGTCTCTCAAAAAGCCCCCTGAAGAGTCTTTTTCAATTTACTCATTTTTATTTGCTGTTCAGTACCTTTTACATTATATTTCTTAGACCTTTTCCCCCTCCACTTCTCTCATACAGCAGTGTGGTCAAATTGAAATAACTAAAAGAGAGACTTTTTTTTCTTAACCTCCTCTGTTCCCAACCCCAACTCCTATTACTTCAACCCAAATTCCTACAGGAAAATGGAGGAAAAAGAAAATAAGGAATGGGATGCCTTTCTACCTCTCAGCATGCATGATGGTCATGGTTAATCAAGAAAAGGCTGGGTCAAGATGCTTCCAGCCTTTCCCAAGAGCTACCTTTGCCTGGAAGCTTGAGCAATTTACCTGGATTCACTGAAACTTACTAGAAATTGGCCTCTTTTTTTCTTCTTCTTTTTTAATCTCATAATTCTTGACATTGGACTCTTTACAAAAACTGGGGAGTGAAAATAACTCGTAAGAACTTTTTTTTTCTTCTTTACGAACTATAGGATTATAAAGTAGCAATAAAAATTAGTTTTCAGGATACAAGCCTCTGCACGTGGGACTCAGTGAAGAGAACCACTTCAGTTTGAGGAGTGGGGACAAAGCAGGGGCAGGAACATTGACCCCTGCAGTGCCCTAAGAGGATATAATTATACAAAGAAGTATTTAAATATTTTTTACTTATGAAAATTTGCCCAATTACTTTCTTGTTTCATCAAATGTTTCTTCTTATCTGTACATACTACAAATATAGTCATCTCCCCCTCCTTTTTCTGGTCTGCTTTTGTGGGATACTTCTATTTTACATTCTAACCCAGGCATTTTAAACCTGGGCCACCCCAATCTTAAAGACTGGATTCCTGAAACACCTCACTTGCATAAAGTGCCCCCTTCGTCAAAGCATGTCTCTCCCATTTTATAGGAGTCAACATTTAGGGTGCTGCTTACTGTCTACTAGAATATTATCACATTTAACTGATGGCAATTTTCCCAGGGAGGAACTATTACTACTCCCATTTTGTAGATACTAAAACTGAGGCTGAAGGGGGTTGCCCATGGCCACTAGCCTGTGGGCAGCAGAGATTCACTTTCAGGTGGGGTTCTGTAGACATTCGGGTTCACCTTAATAACATACTACATGCATCCTTCCCTTGAAAAAGATCACATTTGATGGAAGCTTTGGGAAAGACATTGTCTGAGAGCTGACCTCCAGGAGACAATCCACCCCCAATAAGCCGGCCACCCAGAACTTACTAGGGGGGCTAAGTGCCTTTAAACCAACACACTAGGGTTTCCTGTCACTAGTTACCCCCGAGTTTGTTTTTACCAGGGAGACTCTGATGCCACAAAAACCAAGTAGCTTAGCCTTAGCTTAGCCCTGAGCCTACTTCTGCTCATGAAGATTAGATCCCGAGGCCAGATCCTTCCTCCTATGAAGAAAGCCTAAGAAAATGGTCTCAGAAAGCAGTTCTCCAGAGTTTTGGTTTAGTTTAGTTCAAAACAGGAAATCACGCTTCCCCCACCCCCCACCTCCTAAACTCCAGCTGTATTTTCTCTTTCTGGTCAAGAAAACTGCCTTTTGATTTTATAAAATAACGAACACACCCCAAATTGGGCAGATGTTTAGGTAGTTTTATCCTTCACACTTTCACAAATTTTCTAAATGTTCTACACAGGGAACGCAGCTTTTTTTTTAAAAAAGACAGGCATTTTAAAAAAAACATATGATGATTTCCCAGGTTGTTACTTCCCAAGAAAATTGCAGTGAAAATGGAAGAAAACAACAAGGAAAATGAGGTGGTATAAGTTAAAAACGCTATATAAACATTATTTGAAAAACAAAACAAAAAGCTCAACTGAAACACAACTTGCTGCTTGTATTATGATTTTATTCTGCCAATTAGACCTGAGAGTCACCCCCAAAACGGTGTGTGGGCTGTAGGGGTTCCTGAAGGACTTGCAGTTGTAAGGTCTGGAGTGTGCTTTACGTGAGAGGAAGCATCGTGTGTGTGTGTGTGTGTGTGTGTGTGTGAATGTAAGACGCGCACCTATATTACTTTGTAGAGCATATAAATTTCAACGTGGCCTCGGCCCCAAAAGACTCTTCAGGCACACTAAGCCTTGGGTTCTTGCCTTCCAGGAACCCTGGCCTCCAGAAGGATCAGAAGAATGGAAAGTAATGAGAGTTACATTTGGAAATGCAGTGATCCCAATGGGATCAGCTCCGATCCCCGAGAAAAAAACCAATCCCAGTCTGGGGCCAAGAAGGCGCCTCTAAATGAACTTCCGTACCAAACTAGGTAAAGGGCAACAAAGACCACATTCGGACAGCGCCCAGGGCCACTCAGATTTCACAATGCCTTTTTTTATTCATACAAAAATAAATTTATTTACATTTGCTAGTATTGTGATAGAGAAGCCTCGGGACAGCGGCGCGTGTCCCCTGAGCCGGGTCCTTAGGTACCCAACGGGCTCAGCGGACCACCCAGCGCACTCCTCCAGCAAGGAAGAACGTGGGCACGGGGAGGCTGTGCTGCAGGAGGAGGCCACCAGAGCTTGGGTAGGGGAGGCCTGATGGGGGTGGTCGGGAGCTGGAGGAGGGGTGCTGCAAAGAGGTGTGGAGGAAGAAGTGGACGGAAGACCCGAGCCTGGTTGAGTGGGGGGCGCGGGGATAGGAGGCTCAAGTCTAGACGGGGAGGTGGGTAGGAGCACAGACAGAAGCCCGGCTAGGAAGGGGCGGGAGCCTGGGGGGAGAGAAAGGCTTGACAGCCAGGAGAAGGCAGAACCGCCCAGTGCGCTCCCGGCAAACCCGGGCCGGGTGGTCCCTGAAAGCGTGCCTCCATCTCTCCCTGTGCAGAGGGCAGCCCCTTATCTAGGAGGCTGCTGCCCTGTGGGGTACAAACCTGGCCCAAGTACGCCACTCTCCCGTCTTTGCAATTTAAAAACACGCCCCGATGTTGGTCTCCCGCGAACACTGCTGTCTTTAAAGCCAATCATCCTGAGCACGTTCTAAGTAAGCATTGCCTAACCTAGCACACGCCTGTGCTGTGCAGAGCCGTGCCGTCGTACACAGAGATCTGGCGCAGTCGGGAAACTAACTCCTAGGCGGTTTGGCGCCGGGTTCGTCTACTGCTAAAGTCCGAGGTTGGATCTGGTTCCGCGCTGTACAGACAGAAGGAAACTCTTTTTGGAGAAACAAACTGTCCTCCCCGGGATCCGCAGCAGCCGCAGCCCTCAGCGTCCTGCGATGACAGCCGCGCGGCCAACCCTTCGGGCTCTGATCCCGACACCCGCCATGTGTCGTGTTCACAGTTCGGGTGGGGAGCTGTCTAGGAGAATTTAGGAGAATCCGATGGAACTTTCCCGCATTCTCTGGCGGGAGGGGTGGTGGTTCTCACGCTCCTTTCTCTCCGCCCCCAAACACAGACGCTTCAACAATAATCCCAGCAACTGTGTTCGATCTAAGCGGTGGTCCCACATAATCTGTTGGCTGCCGAAACTTCTTTGGTGTCCGAGTCGGGTCGTCCTGACACCACGAATGGCCATGTCTGTAAAATCAAAAAGAGCGTCAGATACTGAAGGAGAAAGTACTGTCTCAAACCGAAACCGTTCTCCTAAGTGACCCCTGGAATATCCCTGGCTTTTAGTAGCTCAGATTTTATCAGTGTTCTGGGAATTTGGGTGTCTTCCCTCTAAACTAGGATTTTAATTTTTCTGAATTTTGATTGTGTGAGACATGAGACGTCTGTCCATGCTTCCTTCTGGTCTTTGCCCTCAGGATGATTCGGTGAAACTTGCATGAGTTTGGGATTTTGTCTGTTTAATTCCCTTCCCCCCCAACACACACACACACACACACACACTCTCTCTCTCTCTCTCTCTCTCTCTCTCTCAGCCCTCCATTCCGAGTAGGAACTGGAATAGGTTCTTTCTCAAGCCGGGAAAGTTGGCAGGTTGGAGAGGGACTTTCCAGACAAATCCCTTTTGGGGAAACCTTTCATATTCTGCAAGAACCTTTTAAAAAATCCAAAGGCTTTTAAATAGAGCTCGGGCCTTCCCTCCTTCCCTTCAGAAAATAGGGCTTGTTAAATCGAACCGGTCAGAATCTTAGCTGGAAAAAGTTGGGCGAGAGAGATTTGCCATTTGATCTGCAACCGGGTAGTGGATGCAAATGGAACCCAGACTCACCCCGGACGTAGGATATTAGCCAAGAGACGCCACGGGGCAAAGTACCAGGTACAATGATCAGAATGAAGAAAACACTGAAGGGTGGAAGGTTCTTCTCCAAGAAGTGGCTTGGCCCTTCCCCTGGTTTTAAGAAATTAAACTGGACTCCTCACCACCCATTCCAGAACTCCCCTTACAGGTTCCTCCCCCGCCGGCTGACTGTGCCTGGTGCCTGGGAGCTCGCCGAGCATATCCCGGCCTCTCGCCCCGGGCCTCGCGCGGGTGCCCCTACCAGGTTCACCGGGTGCACGTAGCCGTTCTCGTAGCGGTCCTCCTGCAGCAGCTGCCGCAGGTGCGCGATGTAACTGGAAGCCAGCCGCAGCGTATCCAGCTTCGAAAGCTTAGTGTCGGGGGGCACCCAAGGCAGGCTGGTCTTGAGCCTGGAGAAGGCTTTGCTCAGCACGCGCATCCGGGCGCGCTCGCGGGCGTTGGCTGCGTTCCGCTGTGACTGCTTGCAGTCGGCCGCCGAGCCCTTGGGCGGGAGGGGCTTCTTGCCGCCGCCGCCCCCAGCCACACGCGGCCGCTTCCTCTTGCAGCCTTCCGCGCCTCCGGCCGCGCCCAGCGCACACCGCTCTTCCTCGCCATCGGGGTCTTCCTCCTCGGCCGACGAGTTGTCACTGGGAGAGATGTAGCTGCCCTCGGCGCCGCGAAGGGACGGCCTCTTGGAGGCGGGGACCGGGTACCCCCGCTGCAGCCCCCGCAGCTCCATCTCCTCGGGGTCGCTCACGGAGCCGGTGGACATCACTGCGTCCCCCGCGCCCACGCGCGCCCGCCTTCCGCCCCCAGGCCGACCTAATGGTCTCGGCCTTCCGCTCCCTCTGGCGGAGGCGGGGGCCGGGCAGAACTCCGAGGAAGACTCGAGACCTGGGTAGGAAGCGCGGGGCCGCGGGAGCGAGCCCTGCCGCTGACCTGGGAGAGAGCGGCCGAGAAGTGGGCGCCGGTGCCCAGGCTCCGCGCGCACTGCCGCGAGCTGCGCCTTTTGACAGGACTATTTATGTGTACTCCTCGGAACAAACCACCCGGGCCAAGCAGAGGGAGTTGGAAAGGGGGGGGGGCAAGAGGTGGGGCGGGGGCGTGGAAGGGGTGGGGACCGCTTTTCTGCGCTCGGGATCTGTTGGTGGGGGCGGGGAAGGGGAAGTCTCTACCCACTGAGGTTTGGGGCCCCAGGTCCGTGGGACCCTCAGATTGTCAGTGAGAGATGAGCGTGCGTCGGGAGAGTGAAGGAGGGGACCTTGTTCGTACCCACTCTACTTCCACCTCCAACTAGTCTTAGCCAGGGCGAAGATTGCCAGACACTTAGGAACCCCGGGATCGCGACCTCTGCTTCTCTCCCCATCTTTTCAGCGGAACTCTATTTCCCAAGTTCAAAACGCGCGTAATGTATGACGGCCTACCCAAGGCTTGACCGACAAGAGCGTAAAAGCAAAACAAGCAAATGACACCGAGCAATCCGCCACAATTAACGAACCTCCCATTTTCCTCTTCCTCTTTTCCCTATAATATGGCTTTATGATTTACAAAACACGTTTTACTGCATTGGTTCGTTCCATTTTTCAAACAACATCTGTGACTTAAATGTTACCTCCACTTTGCAGAACTTCAAGCTAAAGCTCAGAGATAGGTATTTAAGTAAAGGACCCCAAATCTTCAGGCTGGTAAGTAGAATATGGACTTGAACTCCACGTTTAGCATCCCTGGCTCCTCCATATTTCAGTCGCAACACGCCTCCCCCGACACACACCCAAGCTGTTATATTTGCTGTTTACCACTGTCTTGGGAATTTCATGCTTGATTTTGTTTTTAATACCACAAAGCATTTGATAGAGGATCTTGCCCCAATTCTTTGAGTTACAGTCTAGGGAATCAATTACTATTTTAGATTGTGTGTTGAAGAGCACACTCCAGGATGCAGATTGCTAACTCAGCACAATCTTCTAAAATAAAAATGACAAAACAGCATCCAGAACTAAGGTGTCCTATGTCAACCAAAAATAAGCCCTCTCCCCTCAGCCCCAAAGGAAACAAAAGGAAACTGCAGTCTCATTTTCTAACTCAAAGGATCTTTGCAGTACCTGGTCTAGGGATGGGTACTTCATGTTAGAGGCAGACACCACTGGCCAGCTACTGAGTGCCTGCTATGTGCCAGGCACTGGGCTAGGCACCTTATGACTGCCCAGTGAGGAATTAAAAGAAAACAACAAAATAATCAACTGCTATGAGGTTGGGGTATAATCCCTCTGTTTTACAATGAGGAAACTGAATCTTCACACCCGGCTAATGTGTTTACTTGTCCTTCTCCTAAAGCTCATAGGTTCCCAAACCCAGCAAAGTGCAAGGAAACAAATGTGCAGTCAGCCCAATACAGAGTGAGCAGAAGCCATGGGGCCAGCTTCCCTCCACTAGCTCCTCAGCAGAACAAATGCTCCCAGCTTCCTGCTTGAAGTGCCACAACAGGTGGCGGCCCGGCTGACTTCATCACTCAAGCAGCTTCCACCTTAGTCTCCCAGGCCAGCCCGCCCTCATGGGGGATGTTTCACATACCCCCTCCTGGTCACCCTCATTTGCAGAGGTTTTCTTCCAGTGTATTTTGTCATTTTGTTGAGAGATGGGGGAGGGGCTCCTTTTGGGATCAGTTGAGTAAAAATACCCCTCATTTTCGGTTCTTTCTGGGATGGGAAAAGGCAGGGAATATAGGACTGAGTATGGAGTTCTTTATAGGAGTGCTTGAACTTGAACTTGACTTTAGGTGAACCAGGAGAAGGAGGGAAGAAAAAAATGAGAAGGGGGAGCAGAAAGATGTAAAAAGGAGATCTCAGGCTAGCTTTCTGCATCACCTATTGATGACTTGAATCTATCAGTATAAATACATAGTCTCACACATTAGAGGCAGGCATATAGGTTTTAAAAATCTGGATTGTTTATACAGGTGCAGAACAAAGTCTTTCTTTAGAAAAGATTAATGGTGAGGAAAGTGCTAGATTTTCTCTAAACAGTCACAAAAAAACTGTACCCAGCCTCAACGCTAATCAGGTCATGGCCAGTTTCTTTTTCTTGAAGGAACTGACTGATCCCAACAGTTCATGCTTATTTTTTTTCATAGCTTTTTCCTTCCCTTTTCTTTTATGTTCTTTTCTTTTGATGCTCTATTTTTCCTTCTTTCCATTCTTTTTCCTTCCTCTGTATCTCTCTTCTTTCTCCCTTCCCTCCCCCTGTTATCTTTCAGGAAAGACAGGTCTCTTTTTCTATTTTCTTTTATCTTTCTTTCATTTTTCCTTTCCTTCCATGTATTTCTAGTTATATTTTCATTCTTTTACTCTTTTTTCAAGGTGCAGACTCCTGACGAAGATTAGTGTATCATCAAATACATTTCATATTAGTATATAACTGTAGTTTGCTTTAAACATGTTTGCAATATCTGACATTTGTCACCTCTTTACACTTTGAACATGCTTTTACTTTTCCTTCTCTCTCAATGCAACAGCCCCATGAGCTGAACTGTACAAGTATACTTATCTCTTCCGAGAGCTTGGCTGTTTGAATTGTTTTGGCAAGTTACCATACATTGAAAATGAATAATAAAGGCTTTAGTTTTGTATTTTTTTAAAGCATATTGAAAACAATTCCTATCTGTCCACACATTGCAAGCTTTTAGATTTGTAGCATGAATATACAATTGTTTATGGTATCCATTAATGGCCTTGAAGTTCTTTAAGATGCTCTTTTTAAGTATGCAGTAAGGGAGTGGGTGGGCTTAAAGTTACACTACAAAATAAACATTAATAGATTTAATAATGTCTTGCAATCCTGGTCTTCCTGCTTATTGGCTGTATGACCTTTGGCAATTTACTTTTTCTGAGGCCCAGATTCCTAATCTATAAAATGAGTTATCTGCCTCATAAGGAAGAGGATGTATGTATATAAGCAATTGCTTGGGCCAGAGCCCCATACGTAGAAGAAGATCGATAAATGCCAGTTATTTTTATTACTGTGAATTGTTTCGCCCAACATCACACAGCTAAGTATCAGATTGGGAACTGACCCAGATTTGTGCTGCAGGACTTGTTCTGGGTTTTGGATGGCAACCAGGATGTTTCATTTGCCTTAACTGCACACGTCTACAGTTTGAAGGACATAAGCCCATTGCCTGACATTTCCCAAAGTTCTTATAAGAGACCTCACTGAGGGAAAAATGGATAGGCGTGCATTAAAAACTTTTCTTTCTCCAAGTTCTCTTACCATAAAGTCAGAGCACTTCTCCAATCCTCACTTTCCCTATCTAAAAAGTGGGATAAAATTCTAAAATCAGAGTTAATGAAAAGATTAAATGAGATTGCAGCATTTGTGAAAGCACACTCAGATGTAACACAGAAAAGGCACTTAATATGTTAAAATATTTTAAAATGAAATATTTAAATATTTGAAATATTTTATAATATTAAAAATACCTAAAATTTAGTTTTTCTAAAAAGGAAGAATGAGGTGGGCTAATAATTACAGACCATGGAAAGTAAGCCATTTCTGGCTACTGCCCCTTCAGACTCTGCTGTAAGTACTAATTGAGGAAGTCTGAAGGTGGGCAGGTCAGGTGGGTTTAGGGTTTAGGAAGAGTAAGGGTTTCATCCACCTTCTGTGAACACCAAGCCAAAACATTACTAAGTAAATGCTTAAGATATAGTTATTGTGGGAATGCATTTGAACAGATAGAGCCCTCCCCATGTGACTTTCCTGGTGGCATCTTCCTAAAGTTTCCTGATACCCTGAACTATCTGGTTGGCTGAAGAAACTGTCCATACCTTTGATCTAGAAAAATAAAGAGTGTCCAGCTGGTCACTGTGGGAGCCACTAGCCACATAAAGCTACAAGAACTTGAAATGTGGCTAGTCGTATACAGCAGTGTATAATATGCACCAGATATTGGAGACAGTGTGAATAAGAGAATGTCAAATATCTCATTAGTAAAATGAGATAGGTTTTAAAAATCATATAAAAAAAATGATAACATTTCGGATATACTGGGTTAAAAGAAATGTTATTAAAACTAATTTCAGCCATTTCTTTCTGTTTTTACAATGCAACTCCTAAAACATCTGGAATTACATATGTAGCTCACATTATTTTCTTTTGGAAACTGTAGGGATTAATTTTGCAACTATACGTTGTCTACTGTTTGCCCTGGCCCGTGTTGGTGAGACCTACTCCCCTCAGAAGACACACTCTGAGGGAAAAAGCATGGTGATGTGGGGAGCACAGGTGACGGTAGGTACCCTCTCCCTTACTCCTCTCATCTTCCTGGCATCTCGCTGCGTGTACTCAACCTCATCTCACCCACCCAACCCTAGAACACGCTGAGAAACACTTCCGGTTGGGATTTCTGCCCCCTTTGTAACAGAAGCCCTAGCCCTAGAGAAGCCTTGGTTGATTCCTCAGGCGGGACGGACACCCAGGGGATGTCACCCTGAGCGGCATGGCCTAGTTCATTAGTCCCTTGAACCAGCAGAACTTAAGGAGAAGGCTGCCTAGACCTGGGAGGCGAAGGATAAGGTAATAGCGTGCACGAGTCACGTGCTGGGCAGATCACGTGGCATCCGGGCCACGTGGGGGGTCACTTGGAGGCAGGGGAGGTCACCCTTACGCCAGGCCGTGGCCTGCCTTTCTTCTCTTGCACGAAGCCAGGGGCCCAGCGCCAGGTCCTCCGCAGCCTCTGTCCCGGGTCGTCCAGGATGTCCCCCCACTCCCAACCCTGGAAGGAAAGGAGCCCCTGGCAGTTGGATGCCGCCGGCTCCGCGGTCGGCGCCTGTGGGAACACTCGGAATGGATGGCAGTAGTTCTCTGTTATCCTCCACAAGACCAGTCCTCCACTGCTGGTTTATTTATCCAAAAGTTGCGGCAAGAGTTTTGCCTCCTTGGAGCCCCAGGAGACCTTAGCGTGTAGAGAGGCCACGGCCTGGA